TCAAAATATTCACTTCTCATCTAATTTCTTGAACTTCTGTATCTTATTTTATATCTTATTAAAAAACTGTAGGTTTAAAGGTAAAAAATAGGTTGTTTAAGTTTGTTGTTTCATTACATATTACAAAAAAAAAATTTAAATATGGCGTGATGATTTTTACTAATAGAAGTATTTTAAAATTTACAAGCATAGCAGAAGTTTATTTTGATTGGTTGTTAAAATATCCCGGAAAAAATGTTGATCGTACCCTGGATAAAATATCGATGAGTATACGAAACTTTCAAAAATTAGTAAATACACTTTGAAGATGCGTATTATAGTCTTACAATATATTAATTTGATTCATAATAACTACTTTAATTCATATTTCACGATGTATATATTATTCTTTTGTAATAAATACATTAATTTTACAATAAACTAGATTAGCACATGTAGGTGGCTTCACCGCCCGATTTTCTATCGTGAGTTATTGTAAAAATTCAGTTAGTGATTTATACTATGTAATTGGTTTATATTGAATTATCATTGATTTTCATCATGGAATTTGTGTTAAAAGTTACTATTCCAGTTGATATACAGTACATATGTATGTACGTGGTTCACTAATAGCTAATATAACTTGTGTACGCGAAAATCGATTTTAAAAAACATAAATAGATGATAATTGAGTTATTGTTATAATATTATTGCACAAGAGACTGTAAATGTCATAGCTAATATATAACTAGTTGTTTTTATATTCTGACAGCATTACTATTATATGACACTTGTGAATAATTCATAGGTGACCACCTAGATCATGAATTATTCATACTTAAATATGTCTTCGATATAAATCTTAAAGCTACATATAGAATAGCAGACTGATAATCATCATTTAATGATATATATGTCATACAGTATGTCAGAACGAAATTATTGTAGATTTAGAATCCATTTATGTTGGATCAAAATTTCAAATATAGTCCAAGTTGATACGAAATTTAAAGCCATTTAAGTCGACTATATATCATATAGTTCCAAAATTAAGCACCATTAAATTTTATGTAATATTCAAAAATAAGTATAATCGTATCTGATTTTTTATCAATCAAGCCTATTTCTGTTTCTAAGTAAAGTTATTCTCCAAATCAAGACGATCCTACTGACAGTAAAATCATCAAAATTGGTTTAGTAGAATTCTCACGATTGCTTTTCAAAGTTTGGGCAACTTGGTTTATAAGTATGCAGATTATGTAAAACAAATGTAAACAAATGTCGCCTGAATTTTGAAGAGAATTGTGAAAGTTCTACTGGACAAATTTTGATGATTTTGCTGCTATTAGAATTGTCTTGACCTGGGGAATGGTTTTACTTAGAAACAGAAGATAAGTTTACTTAGTACAAAAACCCTATATTATTTATTCTTTAAATTATATCTGAAAAAAATAAACACCTTTATAACAAAAAAAAGTGCTTAGTTTTGGAACTATATGATAACTTAAGTTGATTTTAAATTCGATATTGTGATAAATAAATCATGATATATTGTCTAGATAAAATACAAATTCTTTTTTTGTTTCCATTTCATTCTTTACCTGATGATCGAACATCAAGACTATCTATTTTTACCTGTAATATATTCAAAGAATTGCTTTCCAAATATTTTAGTGTTAGTAAATTGGTTTTGTATTAATATTTTACAAGATTCAACAAATACAACAATCAGGATACAAAAGATCATTATTTAGCAAAAAATATGTGGTCTTAAATGCAACTTGTTAAATTTGACTCAATCCTATTTGTGTTCATTGTGTCCCAATAAATTTCAGAGTTGAATAGTATTCTTTCAATACTTATAAGTATCTATTATGAAATCCTCTTCCAAGTAGGTAATATTAAATGTAATTGCAAAAATGTATAGGACAAAAATAGCTGTAAAAATGTAGAAATAGTAGAACTATCCTACTAATCATAGATATAAAACTTTAAATCATTCTTTTAAATTTAATTAATTTGCAATGTATTGTGTTATGAATAATTACTAGATGAATAATTTGGAATACACTTTGGAATTTTTTATTCTATTACAATAATTCTATTCTGACGTACGACATATATAACAGTATAAGAGTTTTATCAAACTTGTCAAATATTAGTAAAATTAGGAATATGCTGAGATATAAATTTAATATATTTGGATCATAATTATTATATGTTTTAAATTGGTGAAAATAATTTTTTACCATTTCTAGTAAAAATGTAGAAACACTTGTGACAGGCTATGATTTTTATATATATTGGGAAGCATATCAATCCCGATAAGTAAAAAAAAAAAAAATTGGATGATCGATGCAATATTTAACATTAATCCTCTGGTCAGTTAATTATTTATAAATTAGCAGTTTTTCATCATGTTAACTTCTTAAAATAAGAATTATGTTCTTAAGCAGGTTAAGTCATACCATTATTTTATGCATTTGGAAATAGTCATCAAATTCTTTCACTATAGTCTTTCGTTATGAACTTTGATTATCAGTGATTATCAATTTATCTGTCCTGTAAAATTTCCAACAGAAAAAAAAAAAAAATTGGGTAAAACTTGGAATTGTTCTGAGTGAAACATGAAAGAAATAGATATTTGAAGCTTTTTTGACAACAGTTTACTATTGTGTCAGTGCCTGATAAAAATTATTATGAAATTTCAATATCAATTGCAATTTCAATATCAATTGCAAGTTCAATATCAATTGCAAGTTCAATATCAATTGCAAGTTCAATATCAATTGCAATTGCAATTGCAATAGCAATTGATATTGAACTTGTTTTATAAAAATGACGGATGAAAATTGACTTTCTTGGAATGAAAATTTCCTTTCTCAGAATTACAAGGAAGTTCTGAATGTAGATCCAATTAATCTAATTCACATATAGTAAAAAGTTGTTACAATCATATACGATAGAAAGTTGTTATAATCTAATCTGTACATGGCAAAAACTGTTACAATCTATTCGCAAAATATCCATATCACATGGTTATATATGGCAAATGAGACAAGCAAAATTATAATATCATTAACAATTAAGTTTCGCAATACATTATTCTAACCACTACTACTATAAACATTGTATTTATAATCTAATGAATGTAGTTCAATAGTTTTTTTTTTTATTAGGTAGCAAAACTAGTTGAAGCAACTTTTTACTCACCAATTGCTTAGGTCGTCAAACTACCTTCTGACCTTTTAAAATCTTTATCTCTCATCTAGATCTTGAAGCTTTTGCGTTCTACTGTATCCCAGGTAAAAAAACAATAAAACTCAAGGTTTCTACATTATGTATTACGTACAAAAAAAAAATTTCTCATATGACACGACGACTTTTACTTATAAAAGTACTTTAAAAATTACAATTGATTGTATAAAAAAAAAGATCGTCACCAATCATATTTAGTCTAATCTTAGCCAATCAAAACAAACTTCCGCTATGCTAAATTTACAATTGACTGTATAAATAAATGATCATCGCCAATCATATTTATTCAAATTTTAGCCAATTAAAACGAACTTCTGCTATGCTATCCCGACAGGCTACAACAAAATAATTTTGAGGATGCAGAAAAGACAAAATTAACTCCCATCAATTTTTCATACTCACTAAAATACTACAATCCTATTACCTCATACTTACATATACATACTACTTCATATTTACTCAATTATTACATACTTGCTAACGGTACTAAATTACCTTAACTATATTCACATCACTGATTGCAACTTACTGATTATTGAACCATAAGATCGATCGATTGAACATATAACCAGTGTTATAAATAAATATGCGAGTTGCTTCAATACTTACGTATCGAGCAGCTAATCAAGCTATTACTTGTTATGATGTATAAAGTATACTTAAATTTGGTGTAATAAAATGGTATCTGAACAATTTCAAATTTAAAGAGAATAAAAGTTCGTAAAAATAGTAACAAATTAACAAATAGTGACAAGAGGATAATTTTTTTAAGATATTTTTTTATCATTATCATTATTAAATTAATAATCAAATAAAATATACTCTGATCGCATCATTTATTATCGTTATTTATTATATTATTATAATTCTTATTATAAATAATAAATAAAAAAATAACATAAAATAAAAGAAAAAACCGGTACATCTAGTTGAAAGAATGATAAAATTTTTTTTTTCCTTTTCCTATGAAGCACAGGGATCAAGATCAAGATCTTGAGTAAGATAAATAGTGATCAAGAATATAGATCACAAATCAAATAGCCTATTATACTAAATGCTTTCAAATTCGTGACACCTACATTCGCTTAAAAGTGGAACTAAAAAAAAAAAGAATCTTGTTTTGAATAGTGATAACTCATAGCACTAAAATGAAAGAGAGAAGTAATGTTATTTTTTGCACATGCACAACGAATTTTTAACACTGACAGGAGGACCCCAAATAATACATTTTATTCGCGATAATATATTATAAACTTTAATATTTAAGTAACTTTACCCATTTAACAAATATAAATATTTTCAAAAAAACTTTTCTCTTTTTTTTTTATTTTATCCAAATTAAATATAACTTAACTAATTTTATTAATTTTATCCATAATATAGCATTAAACATTTATCCACTTTTAAATATAACATTTTAATAAACCTCTATATGTATTATTCGGGGTTCTAGTACGGGGTTCTCTCTTTTGCATAGAGATGCATATTATGTATTTTTTTTTACGCGTTTTCTATTTTTCTATTTTTCTATTTTTTACGCGACTTTTTTTTATACAGTGGTATGATTTTGACCAATCAAATTTGTTTTAGCCGGCTTATATATCTACTATACTATTGATACATCTTATTTTTCTCATCACTAAACTAACTTCAGAACAATGAGAAAGGACAGAAATCTTACAGATAAGCCAGGTTTCTCTTATTTTATTACTACACCTTGCGAAGATTGAGACGCACTTGAATATCACCGGGAATGGCACGCAATGAAATATGAAATGAACAAGTCCAAAATTAAGGTGGCACTCACCCGACAAGTAGAATGGTTTCGGGATTTCGGTGCAAAAGAAGAGAAATCAGAAGCAGCAAAAATGTTGAGACAATTAAAGGTAGGCACTTTCTATTAGTAATACTAGTACCAATTGAATCACCTTGGCTTTTGTGAGTCATATGGCTGTTGACAAATAGCATGGCAAACTCCATGTGTAAATAGAATATTATTTGTCCAACTGAAAAGCTAGCCACTGGATTACGATCCTGAGTGGTGATGGAATATGTTCCGCTGGGATTACGGCTAGCCACTAGATTACAATTATGAGTGGTAATGGAATACGTTCCGCCGAAATCCGTCCATAGACTTGTAGAAGTATCATATGCATTACATCTCTTGTTATCTTTATAAGTACATTACTCCATCATCCACACCCCTTGTTATCTTTATAATGCATTACTCCACCATCTACACCCTTGTTATTTTTATAATGATATATACCACAGAACATTAGTCCATATCCCTTAAACCGGTTTGCAGGCAAATTTGCCTGCAAATTTTTGATCAAAATTGTTTTTGCTAAGATAACTTACGAAAATCATAATGTGTGACCCCGTATAATATTATTACTGGCCATTCTATTTGCATAGACCTTTTAATTGATACCACTTTTAATTATTTTTACTAACGCCTTACTTTTATTTTTTCTTTAGTTTGGTGAAATAACCCTGCAAAAGTCATGTGCATACATCGCTCGAGAAGCTACTGGGTGTGCCATTTATATGAAATTTAAACTGTTTAAAACATAACTTGATCAGATAATTAATAAAAATTTATTTATTTGTTTTTTTAAATCAATTATTAAGTTACTGTAATTAATAATTTTGTTAATTTAAAATTACAAGTAAATTAAAAAGATATATGTTTATTAAAATATTATAAAAATTTGATACAAGTACTAAATTTAGTACAGCTAACGGATACTTATTAAAATTTCTAACGCTTTTTTGAAGTTAGAAGCGACATTTGTACCAATTTTTTTTTTATGTTAAGTTCTTAAAAACATATTAATTAGCGGGGTCGATTAGCCATTCAGATAAATTTTCTACCCTAAAAAGTTATCATAATTCTGGCCGGAATTGCTACCATAAATCTGTTATCACTAGCATCTATTTTTGTTACATTAAAGTCAAATATAGTCATGCATCAAAAACGTGATTTTTGTCGCGTGCGCGGGACAGACATTTTGATTTATTGCTATTTCATAACAATATAATGCATCAAAATCGTAACTTTTGTTGCTCCGGACAATAGACATTTCGACATCAAATATTAAGAGGTACACAAAATTTTTGCTAAACATTCTGATTGTTTTTTTTTTTTAATCGAATAAGATAATTAGTTTATGCTAAAGGAGAAATAATAATGCATTATAAAATGGTTTGAATATAACAAATATACATGTTTGTGTTTCGCAAAAACCAAACATCATAATAATCATCACTATAGTTGTTATGTTCATATCAATCAAACAATATTCACACACAAATACCCCTGCACCCAATTTCTAAGTCATTTACAATAAAAAAACTAAAAGAATAAATAAATACTAGTTTGTAAATAAAATACAAATACATATGAAGTAAAAAAATAAAGAAAAGCCACTAATGAAAGGAATTATTATTTAATCGAAAAGTAATAAAAACAATCAATTAAAATTCTAAAACGAAAGTGCTCTCATAAATTTGCCCATTTCTTTTATTAACAGCGGTAGCCTTAACTTCCATAGTACCAAATGTTAGAGTAAATTCAACCAATCTATTTTTTCCTCTTTGTGGATCAGGTAAATCAATTTTCATTTTTCCTAACATTTTCATTCCATCTTCATCACAATATTTTGCGTTATTATCAGGAGTAATATATATATTAAAAGTCATATCAGTTTGATTAGGAACTACAGGACCAGCAGTATAATAGAATTTTTGATCAACGGCAACTTCAACACCTCTTAATGCTAATCGATGGAATTTGAATATACGACCGGAAGGTGTACGACGTTCTGGTGGATCATGTTTTTCCCACTTCGCGCTTACTTCTACACCGTAACAGAATTTTAAGACTCGAGTTTGGACAATATCCATATTTAAACCATATTCTAAAGCACCCCGCTCGATGGCTTAATAAGAGGAAAAAAAACAGTATATATATTATTTAGTAATTCAATTATGAGGGTATGAGAATGAGAAATTATATGAACAAGAAGGAATGTTGGGAAAAATTTTTAATACCTGCTATAGGATGTTTAGGAACGGCAATAATTGGAATTTGAGTCGCAAAATGTCGTCGAATTTGAGTTTGTAAATATTGACTTTCACTAAAACCACCAACCAAAAACATAGCAGCGCATCTACGTTCTGTTGATGCACATTGCCTTTGAATCAAATCAATAATTTTTTTAACAACAGGATCAAACATATCTTTAACAGTTTGATAATCTAATTCAATCAACCATTCAGCATCTTCCATTTGATCTTTAGCCTGACCAGTAACATATTGCATTAAAGCAGGACATATACGTTCAATATCTAATTCCTTTGGAGTATATTCATTAGGATTTCCATTAAAAGAAAATTTTACTCTTGAACAAAATTGTTGAACTAAATATTGCATTTGACCATAATGATTTTCTTTTAATTTTTTCATTGCAGCGAAACCTAATTTTCTACCAAGGAATTTAAGGAATTCACGATCAACATAAGAACTACCGCATAGATCACCACTACGTTCAGTAATTTCACCAAGTTTCATGCTAGGTAATAAAGTTCTGGTAGTAAGATCCACAGTTCCTCCTCCGCAATCAACGATTAAGAATGAAGCTAAAAAAAAAAGTCAAGATTTTTGTGTTATGGTCGCACAAAATAAATAATAATAAAAAATAATCGATGAAAAAATAAATAATAAATATATATTTACATCCAACTGATAAATGATGCTCATTTAAAGTTTTCATGCAATAAATCGCGGCAGCCTCAGCTAAAAAAAATGGAGAAATTATATAAGTTATACATACATATAGATAATATATATATGTTATAATATTAAAATTATATTATAAATTACAGTAAATTTTTTATACATACGTTCAGTTGTAAACTCCAAATTTTCAGATTGCCTATGTTCCAAATAACCCGCATTATACATACATTCTCTCATAACTGCTTTCGCTTCATATTGCCTTTTTTTTTTTAAAAAAAAAATAATAATTTAGTATATTGATACCTAGCATATAGGTCAACCAAATCAAGCATCGGAAATGAATTACTAACCATTCAGCAGGTACAGATACCACAAATCGAACTTGTTGAGGATACCGTATACCTATATATTTAAAGACAAGTTAATCAAATAAATTCGCATTTCACATTCTGTTTCGAATAGTAATAATAGATCGTGTCACCTGGCCATCGAGAATTTAATGTTTCTAAAATGAGCTAAAAAAAAAAATGAATGGTACAAATTAATTAAAATTTTTGGTTAAAATAGTCAGAGTCGAATAAAAAATAAATAATTAACATTTCTTTACTTTGTTCATCTCGTGTAAATAATCAGTAATGACTCTCTTTGGATCTAAGCCTGGAGGAAGCGGTGGTTTATCCTCTTCTTTTATACCAGCAAGATGTAATTTGAATAATTCTACTGGTTTAGGTTGCGGCTTAGCTAATGCCTTTCTTTTCTTTGGAGGTTCTTGGGCTAGGGCAGGGTAACCCCACGCTACAAGTTGTAAGTTGTCATCATATGCTAATACAGTATTTGTTTTAAATACTCCAGCCTGCTCTGGCCTAACATTAGTTATCGAAGATTATTTAAAATTTTTTTTAATATATATCTTTTCTGATGAAAAACTCCGAATCTTGTATACACTACCACTATAAATAATGATATGATGTAATTCGATTAATAACATATTTATATCAGAAAAAAAAATCACAAATTCGAACACTGATCAAATTGATTTATTCAACTTGTATAAAATTTATAGATAATCAGATGTCCAACACTGCCTTTGTGTATGATATCAAAAATTTTAACTTACTGTATCGTTGGTGATAGTTTCTGGATTAATCTTGTTCGAATATGCAAATCCTACATGTCAAAAAAAAAAAATTTTTGATTAATTCGCTTTAATAACCAATTATCATATAAATATGTGCATGTATTTTTTTTTTTTTCTGACCTGAAAAGGTTGTTCCAAAATCTAATAATAAAATATCGAGTCGATTAGTATAATATTTAAAGATATTTCAAGATACTTCAAGATACAGATAATAATATTGTGCATACCAATAGCTACAACGATCCGAATATCTGGTCTTGCCATATTTCCTTTAAATTACCAAGAGAATCTCTACCTGCTTGAATCGCAAATAAGCTGGTTAAATTTTTTTTAAGAAAAGGAGTGGTTATTGAGAAAGGTTTTTAACAGAGAATTTCCTTTCGCGTTTAAGAAGGGGGGAGAAAAGAATATGGAATTAAAGCCTCACACCAGGTGTAATATTACCTGCTCAGGATACTAGTGCGGACCGAAAAGAGAATTCTCCGGAAACAAGTTTTATGCAATGTTAGAAAGTAGTGATACAGATTTTTCTTATTTGTACCAACGAACTTCCTTTATCTGTTTGTGACGCAAAGTACTCAAATAAATTAAATTGCAGACTATCGCTATTTATAAAAAAGTAATTGAATGCACATCGGTTCAATCCCTCCGACCGGAATGAAGGAAAGTTGTTACGGCAATGTTTACAAATTATAATGTGTTACGATCAACATTTTAGACTAATTCTGTAATTAAAAAAAAAAAAAAAAATTCTTGAAAGCAGCTGATTATATAGTGAGCAAAATTAATGAATATGGAAAGATTCTCACTCGACAGAAACTTTAAAAATAGTTCAGTATTTTTAGGTGATGAAAAGTTAATCTACTGAGAATCCCTTACAAAATAACTTTGTTATATATATATTTATATATATTTACTACCTATATATACATCCTATACAATTCTAACCTTATACACTCTATCAACTATCCTTATACATTTTATGCAACTTTATCCTTGTACTGCAAAGTATTTACTGGCAAATTTGCTTGAATAAAACATATTGATATGTATATATCATAATTTAAGTCTCGATAACCATCTGTTTATGCTTTTAAACTTGTAACATTCATTATATTTTCTAAAGGCTCCAAAAATAAACGAAAATCTTTAAGTGATTTGCAGAAATTTCTAGAGCGGTTTATTATATCAGATATGTATTGTAAAAGCCCATACATCCGGTGTAAGGGATAGCGAAGATCATTAAAAGCGTTAGTTAGTTTTACATTAACTGTTTCACGAGTAAATTGTAGTACTGATGGTAAATGACCTGGTCATTTGAAAATTTTTTAAATGACCTTATATGACCAGTCATTTACTGAGGGTCATTTGAGTATTATTCGTGATGCCGTAGAAACTTTAAGTATCGGAATAGTCATTTGGTCAAAATTCAAATGGTCTCAAGTCATTAAACAATGGCCAGGTTATTTAGGTCATTGCGCATGAAATAATTTTACTAGTCAATAGATAATCAACTAATCGATGGTCATAGGTAGTGTTACAAATCGAAAATCGAAAAATCGCAACTAATCGAAAGTTGACAACTAATCGATTGAAAAATTTTTGGCAACTTATATTAAAATCGAATAAAAATCGAATAATATTCTACAGTCACTATTTTTAAAGATGCTAAAACATGAATACAAAATGCTATTAAAAATTAAGCTTAACATTTAAATTAACGTTATTTCGGAATTTACACATTTTACACTTGATTTAAAATAATGTCCAGGCGCGTCTAGTGGTGTGAGCGCAATGCCGTAATTGTCGTAATTGTTTTTACAAAAATTTAATTATATCGTGATCCAATAATCCAAATTGGATGA